CCCACCCCACTCCCCTCCCTCCCTTTCTGAGGGGCAGGCAGTGGGGGAGCACCATCACCATGACCCACCCCTGCCCCCACCCCCTTCTCCCTCAGGCAGGGAGGTATGGGGAAGCCCTGCTGCTTGGGTGCCTGGGGCATGTTCACCACCACAAAATTCCCTTGCAGCAGCTCAAACTTGGGCCCATGCAGCCAATCGTCATCTGCTGTCTTAGCGGCACATGCGCAGTTGGCCATAAGTGTTACAGATAGACCGATCAACAGACAGACTAAGCCCTTTATTATATTAGAATTTTTAACTATGTCTTGTTTTGGGGCATCCTGTTAAGCATTCCATTACATGTATTAGGAGGAGAAAACTTTATTTGGGTAGTAATGAAATTCCATTCCCTGCTTATTGTGTCTGCATAGCTTTAAATCTTGTTTTCATAATTTTAAACCGAAATAATGAGTTGGTTAATTCATTTTTGGGGGGGTTTTGGGTTTTTTCACTGTGAACAGAATGAGTTTGCAGCTCGTCTCAGTAGAATGGAAGTTGAGCGTCAGAACTTGGCAGAAGCAGTAACTGCAGCAGAAAAAAAGTATTTGGATGAAAAATGGAGAGCTGATGACCTTCAGCAGCAAGTCAAAGTAGCTAAGAACAATTTGGAGTCTGCAAAACAAGAACTGGTGGACTACAAACAAAAGGCTACTCGCATACTCCAAGTGAGTGAGACATGGGGGAAAAAAAATCCAATTTAAGCAGAAAAGAAATAGTTGCCAATGTTTTTGCATTCATCTTATTAAAAATATGAAGAGTGGTTCAGGGAAGCATCATGTTTAATTTTATCCCATTTTTTTTTAAATATGATCAGTAACATATCCTTTGAATTCTTTACTGTACATTTTTTTTAGCGGTATGGTAGATCTGAAAATACAGCTTCATAATTTGACACAACAGAATTTCATGTAGAGAGTTAAGCAATTGTCATGGAAATTCAAACTTTAATCTTACAATAATTTCTGTGTGGGCAGACCACAGTTCTTATGAAGAACAATACTAAGTCACAGGGACTCTATGCAGCTGTAAGGATCCACCCACGTGGATAAAATTGCTGGCTCAGCTCTAAATATGTGACAGTGGGTGTATGTTATGTTATAAATGCAAACAAATTCCATTTGAAAGTTTGGTGGTAACAGGATTAAGTTTCCCCATGGAAGAGCTCTATTTTTTTTTTGTGTACATCTTATTAGGTAAAGGATATCAGCTCTGGTTGTGTTTTGAGAGAGACTTTTTTTCCCCTTTGCCTTATTGTGTGTTCAAGAAATGAAACTTACTGCTGAGTTCATTCTTGGATGATATGCAGTTAAGTTTTCTAGCAAAATTTTTAGGAAATTCAGTTGAGTTGGATACAGTCTTAACTCCTACTTTTTGGTAGACATGGCGGTATAGGATTTGAAAATTAGAAACTATTTCACAGATACAGATCTTTTCTGCTTTATGATGTGCCTACTGTGTATTACAGGGAAAAAGTATTTGGATGAAAAACAGAGAGCTGATGACCTTCAGCAGCAAGTCTTTATTACAGGGGAAAAATGGTGGATCTGGCTGGCATCTGGACTCAATTTCCAGCAGCCCCTGCCCATGTTGCTGTGGCTGGTTTCCACAGAGACCGCAACAACCATGAAGCTTGGACAGCATGGGGCCTGGGTTTCCATGGAGGCTGGCCCCAGCAACACTGGCAGGGTACACAGAAGTGTGGAGAGCTGCTCTGGGGCCAGGGCTGGGATCTTGCAGCGGTGACAGTATGGTCCAGAGCCAGGACAGCTGTGATCTGCTGCCTGCATGCCCCTATCCGGATCCCGCTGTCACCGCCACCAGATCCTGGTCCTGGAGGAACTTTCCGCCCTGCCTTGCACCCAGCCTGGCTGCACGCTGTTACAGCTCCACCACTCCTGCAGTCTCTGTGGAAACCGGCCACAACAACAAAGGCTGAGGCTGCTGGGAAATGGAGTCCACTGCGGAACTGATCCAGCCCGTGGACTGGACTTTGCCCACCCCTGGTTATTACTTGGAATACTAGTCCATGAATTGGGTTGGACAGGGGGCAGCACAGGGCCCCAGGGCCTGATCCCAGTGAGCGAGGGTGGCTCAGGCTTCAGGGCCTGATCCTGGGGGCCAGCACAGAGCCATTCATCTGTGACCTGTGGGACCAAATGATTGAGCACCACTTGACTAGATCATTATAATGGACCCTTTTGGCCTTAAAATCCATGAGGTCCTTGTTAATCCTAACATTGAAACTAAAGAAATAAATTTTAATTCTAGTTTTGCTCCAGGATTCCAGAGCCAAGTCTTGATCACCTATTTAAGTATGGACCGCTCATCATCCTCAATGAGAGTTAAGCCTGCGTGTCTAAATGTTGAATTTCATATTTAATATTTATCAATTAATATACAAATTTATTTAATCCTCTAGTCAAAAGAAAAGCTGATAAACAGTCTAAAGGAAGGCTCTGGTATTGAAGGTCTGGATAGCCATACTGCAAGCACCATGGAGCTAGAAGAACTGAGACATGAAAGAGAGACACAGAAGGAGGAAATACAAAAACTAAAGGGGCAGATGCAGCTTCTGAGAACAGAGCTACAGGTAGTTTTTATTGCACACAGTATCCTTATGTTTTGCTGAAAATATCTGGGGCTTCAGATGCCTACCTACCACTTGTAGCATTACCACTACAAAGCTACTCAAGACTGCTTTGTAGCTATTTGGGGTTGAAACAGCTATTAAGTTGGGTTCAGTATTGATTTATCAATGCTGGGTAGGAAAAGGTTTCTCTTAGGGTGAGTAGTGCTTCTTTGATACTAGGGGTGTTGGTTGTAGTGGTGTTGGTTTCTAAGGACATAAGCAGACAAGGTTCTTTGGGTAAATGTGATATCTTTTATTAGACCAATTAAATAGTTGGAAAAATTGTTCTTTGCAAGCTTTTGAGAACAAACACCTTTCTTCAAGCACAGAGAGAGTCTGCTCTTGTTTTGTGTTTTCTTGGATGGAATAGAAGCCAATATGCAAAATGCAGGTCTGTGAAAATGCAAATGTGTGGTGGTGAGGATCTGAGGCCATGTGAGACAGGTAGGTGCAGGGTGGGGGAGATAGAATGTAGCTGGTAAGTTACCTGGGGTTATCAGATGGCAGATAAGTGCCATAAATCCAGTGTCTGTATTTAGTCCATGATTTTTTTGTATCCAGTAGGCTTTTATAAAGCGAAGTTCGTAGGCTCATCTGCAAAAGATCTTTTGTAAATTCCCTTTGAGGATTAGAACTCAGAGATTGGAGAGAGAGTGGTTGTCTTGTGAGAAGTGTGCACCCACAGGGAATTAGGTATTTTTGTCTTTTGATAGATTTTTTGGTGTGTGTTCATTCTGATAACACAGTTGTTTTTTTGGTTTCTCCTATATATTTTCCATCAAGGCATTTAGTGCACTGGATGAAATACTACATTTCTGGAGGTGCAGGTGTGAGATCCAGGAATGGTCTTGGTTCTGTTGTGGGGTGTAGTTATTGTGGGAGTGGTGGAGATGTGTTGGTAGGCTTTACATTTCTTGTCCCAGCATGGTCTGGATCCATTCGGTGTGTTTTGGGCCAGAGGAAGTTTGCTTCTGGTGATTCGGTTGGCAAGGTTCTGTGCTTGTTTAAAGGCTAGGATGGGTTGTTCTGGGAAGAGGTTCCAGAGAGGGATGGAATGTTATACTAATGGTGTGCAATTTATGGGGATTTTGTTTTTGTACTGCAGCAATTTTTCACATGGTATCCAGGTAGCTCTTTCAAAAGTGCAATGCATCTCTCTGGAGGAGTGTTTTTTGTTGAATGATATTCCTTTTGAGATTTGTGAGGTGATAATCACAGGTGTTCTCCTTGGTGCAGATGTGGTGGTTTTGGAGGGCTTAGCTGTATATTACGGCTTTCTTGGTGTGTTTAGGGTGATTGCTGGTTGTCTGCAGGTATGTATGTTGATCCACGGGTTTCTTGTATATGGTGGTTTATATTTTACCATTCTGGATATTGATCATAGTGTCTAAAAAGGAAATGTCGGTGCTGGAGTATTCAAGAGATCTGATGGAAGGGTGACGATAACTGAATTTGTGATGGAATCAGTTAGTTAGCGATGGCAGATTTTTCAGTCCAGATGATGATGTCATCTGTATATCTTAAATATAGCATGGGTTTGATGGTGCAGTTCTTGAGAAATTAGTTCTTCTTCCAAGTGGCCCATAAAAAGGTTGGCAATTGTGGGGTCATTTTGGTGCCCATAGCTGTGCCATATGGTCTGAAGGATGTGTTGATGAAAGTGAAGTTGTGTGTGAGGATGAAGTGTCTAAGTTCAGTAACTTTAGGTCTGTACTCTGAGTTGTAATCTTGCTCTTGTAGCTATGTAAGGCAGGCTTAGATGTCATCCTGGTGTGGGATGTTGGTATATAAGCTGATAACATCCATGATAAATAGAAGGGTATTGCCGAGAAGGTGGTCTCTGTTTTTAAGTTTTTGTAGAAAGTCAGTTGTGCCTTGGACAAATATCGGTCTTTGGGTTACAAGAGGTTTTAGGATGGATTCGATGAAACCTGGTTGTTCCTCAGTTAGGGTTCCATGGCTGGATGTAGGTCTGCCTGGGTTCCCTTGTTTGTGGACTTGGGAAAGCATGTAAAAAAAAGTCCCAGGGTTGGGTAGTAGAGGGATCAAGCTCTGTAGCTTTTTCACGTAGTTCAGATGGAAATAATTTGGTGGTTTTAGAGTGAAAAAGGGCATTGGATCTTCCTCTAGTTTTTCATAGTAGGTGGTGTCAGAGAGTTGTTTATTGGCTTCTTTTATGTAGATTTCAAAGTTAAGGATAACTATAGCTTCTTCCTTTATCTGCTGGTTTTATTACTATCTGGTGGTTGGATCTTAGAGATTCTATGGCCCTTGTCTCTGAGACAGTGAGGTTGTTATGGTGGCGTTTGATTATTTCATTGTTCATTCTTTCCCTGAAGCAGTCAATATAGTGGTCAAGGTTTGAATTTCATCTACTGTGAGATGTCCAAGCTGATGGGGTGTTTTTTTTAATTTTGGGGGGGGCGGGGTTAATCTTTTCCTCAATGTTGTCAAAGGATGAAGTGTTGTAGGAAGTCTCTTCGTTTTGGTTGTGGTAATATTCCTTGAGACAGAGGCATTAGAAACATCCTTCTAGTTCTCCACATTGTAGTATATTATTGTGGGGGGGTTCAGAGAGAAATTAAGACTTTTAGAGAAGACTGATTTTTATTTTAATTTTTTTAAATTTTTTTTCACTTTTGGTAAGTGTGTGAGTGGAGAGAGTGATATTATTTGAGGGTTGATTGGTTCTTTCAGTTTCATTGAGTACAAGGTTGGAATGTTGTAAGGTAGTGGTGTTGTTCCTCTGTTGGTTGTTTTACAGCTAGGAAACTTGTTTGTGTAGCAGTTGGTTCTATTTCTTTTTTATGTTGGATGGATATTATAAAATATCTTTGGTAGTCTCTTTATATAATGCATGGGAAGATATCTGGATTCCTCTCAAGTTGTTGCAGCATGTATTGATTTCCTTCTTGAGTTGACCTCTTCTGGAGTAGGTTGTGAAGGAGATAATTTCTAAGTTCTTTCTGAAGTTCCCTTGCATAGTTGTGAAGTATACTTAGAGTTGTGTAGTAGTTGGAGGATTGTAGATGTTCAGTCCTCTGGGAATGATAGTGTTTCTTGCATATGCTTAGAAAATACAAGTTGATGTTGAGTTTGGTTTCTTTGATATATGCTTTCTTTTCCCCATTCTCCCTGACTACCCTGGAATAAGGTGTGGAAAGGAGCCACTGGGGTGCCTTGCTACTACTTTCTCCTTAAAATGAGAGGTATTTCTTTCCAAAATTGCCACAGGTACTCCTTTGCAGAAGAGAACATAAGTGCATGTGTTTATTTTTCCAGAATTTCATGGGGGGACCACTGATCTTTGAAGTGACTCCCAGACTCTGCGTAGCCCCTGCTGCCTTTGTCCCTTCTTCCTGCAGTTATGTCCAACTCTTTCCTAGGGTTCAGCTGTAGATGACAGACAGGAGATGGTTGGCCATTTAAAAAAAAATTATCCTTTGTCCACATGATCCTGCTTCTGCTGTAATGTGCAAAAATGAAATTACATTTTGAGTTCTGCTTTTACTTCTAAAGATTACTTCATGGCTTGATGTTATTGGAATAAAAGTGTTTATATTATTTCTAGGATATGGAGACTCAGCAGGTAAATGAAGCTGAATCAGCAAGGGAGCAGCTTCAGGACTTACAAGAGCAAATAGCAACACACAAAATGGCCAAGCAAGAAGTGGAGGCTGAATTGGAACGGCAAAAGCAGGTAAACAGGAGGCCTGGTATAACTTTAGCTTTGGAAAATGTTTTGGCTCTAAAATTGGAAGATTGACAGATTTGAATTAGTCATAAAATTACGCTGAGTTGGTATTTTGACCTTTTTCCAATCTTAAACTTCCTTGTGCAAATAAGTTTTTGTTTACAAGCCTTCAGATGCATCATAAATTTTGATAATCTATGTATCGTATCTACTTGAAGAAATAATTTGTGATTAAGACAAATGTTATTGTTATTATGGGTCACTTTAAATCCAGTGACTTCAGTAGGAGTGTTTGCCATTTTTTTGCAAGGGTAGAATTGGGTATTGAGTACACTATTACCATTTATTTGTGCAGAACAGAATATAGAGGTGGCCTCTCACTGAAGTCTATTAGGCTATGCAAAATTCTTGATATGAGGGATTATAGGATTGCAGTCTGTGTGAGCATGTTGCCCTTTAACTGATAAGGACACTATTGTAAATGGTAGCTATCAGTGCACTCTCTCAATTACTTTTTTGATAGCTGTAAAACAGGGCTCCACTCCTGATTCCTAAAATGTGCTTTATTATGCAGAAGGGTCTTGCCTTGTCATACTAGAAGTTACAGTTCTGGTCCTATTATAAGGCAGGCAAGGTTCTTTGAGTAGATGTGTTATCTTTTATTAGACCAACTGAGTAGTTGGAAAAAAGTTCTTGGCAGGCTTTTGGGCACAGTCACCCTTCTTCAGGCATAGGGAGAGTCTGCTGGTGTTTGTGTACTCTCTTGGGTCAAATAGAAATTTAAGTCAAAATGCAAAATGCAGGTCTGTAAAAGTGCAGATGTGTGGCAGGGAAGATCAGATCCATCCAGGAAAACACACAACAAGAGCAGACTCTCCCTGTGCCTGAAGAAAGGTATTTGATCTCAAAAGCTTGCCAAGAACTTTTTTCCAACTACTCAGTTGGTCTAATAAAAGATAACACATCTACTCAAAGAACCTTGCCTGCTTATGTCCTTAGACCAACACGGCTACAACCAAAAACCCAGCAACATGGTCCTATTATAAGACATAAAGCTGATTTTGATCTTTTTAACTCCAAAAATGAGAGATCTTCATACTTTCATCCAAATTGCATCTACTTGAACAGTAGAATGTGTTCTGAAAATGTGATTTAATTATGTACTTTCAAAAGTATGTTTTGAGATTGTGTGCAAACATTTCAGAAGAAGACACTTTTAATGTTTGTGTACCTCTGGGTAACTATGGGCACTGCCTAATGAAATGGAAGTAGATTTTGTCAGGTTGCCACAGGGACAATTTCCAAGGGCAGGACAAGCAAAGTCTTTAATAAATTGCTATTGTTTGCAAGACATGGTACCATTCTTTGCAAAGCCACTGTGGTTGTGTGGGGGGGGGAATTTGTATTGCCAAACTCTGAACCACTCTGAGCTAATTTACAAAAGTGAAATTAAATTGTCAGATCTGATGACTGTTCCTTTCCACTGTCTCCCTGCCTTAAGAATGGGCCTGGCCTCGTTTTGCAACCAGGGAAATAGTTTGACTTATTCAAGTTTACATAGGATGTTGGCAGTAGAACTGTGGCTGCCCCTAGCCCTTGCCACTGATTGCCTGCGAGGACAGCCCTGGCAGCCAATCAGTGGCAAGGGGTGGGGCCAAATGATGGATAGCCCTGGCAGCCAATCAGTGGTGAGGGTTGGGGCCACCAGGGTCCCTTGGCCAATCAGAGGTATGTTGCAGGTGGGGTGGGGGGAGCTGAGTTCCACCTATGAAAATGGCTGCCAGCCCCACTGTCTGCCCATGAAATCGCAGCAGCTGCTTCGACTTCCATAGATTTCCACCCCCACCCCACATAACTATAGTCTCTAGTGGCAATTTACCTCTTTTCTGGTTGTCAGAGTGAAGTTAGATTTATGGTGGGGATGCATACAAGGAAAATTCAGGTGTAAGCATGCATGAATTGCATCGTTGTACACAGTGTTAGGGAAAAGAATCCTAAAAGACATAAATACTACATTGCATACATAAGTGAACAAGACAGTGATCTTCTCGAGATCATTTCATCATAGCACAGTAGTCTTAATTCTAATTAAACTCTTTCTCTGTAAATTCAATTTTAAACATGCAGCAAAACTCTTTTGCAAAGAAAGCAAAAACTGTGCATTTCTGACAATACACAATGCTGGAGATGCAGTTTTCTGTGTAAATATATAAGGGTTACAAACTATGAAAATTAGTTTCTTTTTAAAAGGGGATATTGAAAGAAAGATTAACTTAATGCATTCAAATCCTCAATTATTAAAGGCTATGAGCCAAGATTTTTGTGTAGCAATCAAACACTCATCATGTGAGCAGTGCAACACTTCCATGTTTTCAAGGGTGGTTTTTATTGAGAATATACAGTAGTTAAAATCATTATAATAAGCATTTTCAAAAATGTATGGCTGCCACCTAGTATTGATATATATTAATTCATTATTCACACTGCTACTCTGCAGTTTATGAACAGGGAAACAGTGCAATTTATCATTTCTCCATTATATTTTGTGGAGTTGTGCCAGAAGACTTCTTAAAAAGCCTGACTAATCACAGGTTTGGGGGGGGTTTAAAGTGTAAATGTTTCGGGCGTGTCTCACATGCAGCTGCTATAAAAGATTTTATGTTGTATATATGGACAGACAAACAAATTATAGCAACTTGGAATGGGGCAGGGACGTACTATGCATCACTTGCTCCCTGGTAGTTGCCATGTGCCCACTCGCCCAGTGGTAAGTAAAGCCAAACCAAGGCAGCATAGGCCTAAGTGAAACTGTGCCTTATCCTTTCTTGTTATAAGGTTTATAAAGTAGTCTAGTCAGAATGGCAGTATGTCTGGCATGTAGGCAAATTGCAGGATATGGGAACAGAACTTCAGTATCTGGTTACCCCTTTCAGTTGAATTAATTTAAATGTAACTAGGCAAGATGTGTTGGAGGGTCTGGAGCTGGACAGGCCTGTCCAGAGACAGTGTCCCTTTTTTAGAGGAGCAGTATTTAGGCTTAGGGATTATTAGCAAATGGTGCTGGAAAGAGTCAGGGTGGTTCCTAAAAGATTGGAAAATCCCACATAAGTGGTGTTGAAAGCAGGATGTATCATTTGATATGTTCTGGAGTGCGGTAGAAGTACAAATCTTTGCAAAGGATCTTTACTGGGGGAGCACTGGGTTTACATTTGGAATTTGGAGTGGATAGTTTTGTGTTCAAGGATGTAACAAGTGGGCGTCCCGGGGCTGGTCATGTTGTTGGCCCGCCCTCTTGTTTTATGGCTAACCGCTCGCCTGCCATGCCTTTGAAACTAATTGGAAGTTGTTAAGAAAGTGGGAGGCTGCCCATTTAATTGCCCTGATGCCAAGGATGCGTCAGACCTTCCCTTATACCGTATCCTATGCCTCCCAGCTAGCATCCATGGCCTAACACCTGGCCTAAATTTTACTTCACCTGTCACCCGACCTACAATCCCATACCCCACACTAGGGTTCTCATTCCCATGCCCTCGCTCCAGTGCCTCACGTCGAGACACTCATTTCCATGTCCTCACGCTGGGGCTTGCAATCCCTGTGTGCTCTCAATCGCACCCACTTGGGGGTCCAAGCCCTTCTCTTTTTCCTTGGGCTCCCTGCCTGACTCTGTACCCTCTTGGTCCCTTCACACCCCATACTAGGGTCTCAATCCCCTGCCCCAGGAGCTTCACACCCAGCTCCTTCTTAGGGCTCAGAATCCCACCCTCCCTTGGAGCCTCACACCCAGCTCCCTTTGAACCTCAAGCCACACTGTGGACCTGGGCTCTCTCTCAGGTTTCTTCACATTACCTAGACCCTGCATCAAGCTCTGCACAGTAAACCTGGGCCTTTGCTTTGTTCTCAGATTATGCTCCTGTAGTTGTTCTCCTCCACAGAGTTGCCTACAAGGCAGTGGGGGCTGAGGTTTTCTGGCACCCCATACTCACCCTTCACTGGGGAGGCCCAGGTGTGGCATTTCTTGAGGACTGCCCTGCCACAGGCAGCCCCACCACACCATCCAGCCCCAGCAGGGTCTAGTTTATAGATCATGCCTCAGGACCAAGAGCCTCCACCATCCCTATAGCTCCTGCCCTGTACCTCCAAGATGTTACATGAGCAGCAGCTCCAGCCAGGTGGTGTTTTTCTCCTGGCTGCTCACAGCAAACTGCTGGCTCCACTGCTCAGGGCCTGTTCTTAACCCAGACAGCTGGGCCCTGTTCCCAATCGGGCAGTTCCCTGCTGGTCATGCACCTAATTGGGAGTGCAGCTACCTGCAGGCTGCTCTGCTGCTTGCCTGTGCCCCTTTTAGTGACAAGCACGGTCACAAAGGGATAGACTTGGGAATGGCATAAGTCGTCCTTGGGCTGGGGAGACAGGCTGGCAATCTTACAATATTCTAATGGATCTTAAAATCAAAGAAGTACAACATTTAAAATGGATAGTACAGAATTTTTTAATAGTACAATTAGGGCAGGACACAGCCTGGCTGGACTGGGCTGTCCGTATGGGGGCTGCAATGCGACTGGCCTGGCTCGGCAGTACATGTCCAGGATGTGGCTGCAGGTGCCAGGATGGGGCCAGGGCTGTAAGTCAATGCGGGGCAGACAGAGCCCACACAGCGCCCCCAGCCTGCAGCCCTGGCTTGGGTGACAAGGCACCATGCTCACCAGTGCATCCTAATAGCTGCTCCGTCCCTGCCTGCTGCCACACTCTTCACCCTGTGGCTGCCAGAAGCAGGGCCAGGTGGGACAGGGCAGCGCACACACAGAGCCCCAACTCCATGACTCCCAGGTTTCTGGCAGTCTGGGACTTTCTGCTTAAATTTCCTCCAATGGCCGGGACGCTGAGACAACCTATACAATCTTGGACTGTCCCAGCCAATCCAGGACATATGGTCACCCTGTACGTGGCTAATCACTGATTCTGTTAAGTTTATCAGTCAGTTGAAACCAGACCATCCTCTTATATCTTACTAGGGATTTCTATTATAAACAAGTAGCCATATAAGAATAATGATAAATAATGGAGAAAATTGGAGAATTCACAATACCTGCTGAGTACAACTTATCCTATAGGATTATGTGTCCTTTCAGAAATTACATTTTAATTAGATGTTAACATCTTGAGCTAATTAAAAGGCAAAAGTTCCAAGCCTGCTCTTGATGGATGGCTGATGTTTGTTATATCAAAGCCAGATGGTAGGGTATATTCTGTTACCTATGTCCCTTGAGAGCGTACACCTCTACCTCCCCTCAATCTCAGCTCTGTATCTAGACCAGTAAAAGTGGAGCTAAAAAAGGGAATTTATCCTTTACATTTAGCAAACTTTAGGTTAATTTTCAGGGGCATAATATGAGTTGTTATAAACAAATGTAGTTTTAGGGTGGCTTTATTACATATTGAAATGAATAACTACAGCTTTGTTATATCTGAAAGTTGTTTCTTTAATGTATTTAGCTTCAGAAATCAAAATAGCAAAAACCAAGACTAATCAGCTATTTATTTTATGTTGTTGACTTGCAACACTTCTTTCCAGTTATCAGTGTCCTGTTGTTCTAACAGTAGATAACTGAAGTTACACAAAGATACAACAAAGCATAATATAGTAAAGATCTTGGATCTTTGTGTCTGGGTATTCAAAAGCTTGTATATACTAAATCAAAACATTAACAGCAGTCATGCTAAATTTTGCCACTCGGTGAGAATGCTCCATCTATGCTGTATCTTTAGACTAAGTTTTTCAAGACAAGTGTCTTTGCTGTTCATTGAGAGCATTATATGTTTTATATACATGGCTTGTAGGTTGTTCTAAAATTTATTTCTGTAGAGACTCTTAAGAAGGTTTTATCTCAGATTCAGGCCAATGCATTTCATTTTTCCTTCCTTACCTACTTACAGGGAACCATAGTTGACAACCCTTGTGGTTAGGCAATAAAATAAAGACAGACAAACAGAAAAAGAAGACCAGTTGATCCAGAATGTGAAGGAAAGGAGAAATGCAAAGTGCTGCACCTAGGGAGGAAAAATGTCCTGCATACCTACTGCCTAGGAAATGACCTGCTTGGAGGCACAGAAGCGGAAAGGGATCTTGGAGTCCTAGTGGACTCCAAGATGAACATGAGTCGGCAGTGTGACAAAGTCATCAGAAAAGCTAATGGCACTTTATTGTGCATCAGCAGATGCATGATGAACAGAACCAAGGAGGTGATACTTCCCCTCTATCGGGCGCTGGTCAGACCGCAGTTGGAATACTGCGTGCGATTTTGGGCACCACACTTCAAGAGGGATGTGGATAACCTGGAGAGGGTCCAGAGAAGGGCTACTCGTATGGGTAAGGGCTTGCAGGCCAAGCCCTATGAGGAGAGACTAGGGCACCTGGACCTCTTCAGCCTCCGCAAGAGAAGGTTGAGAGGCAACCTTGTGGCTGCCTATAAGTTCATCACGGGGGCACAGAAGGGAATTGGTGAGGCTTTACTCACCAAGGCGCCCCTGGGGGTTACAAGAAATAATGGCCACAAGCTAGCAGAGAGCAGATTTAGATTAGACATTAGGAAGAACTTCTTCACAGTTAGTGGCCAAAGTCTGGAATGGGCTCCCAAGGGAGGTGGTGCTCTCCCCTACCCTGGGGGTCTTCAAGAGGAGGTTAGGTAGGCATCTAGCTGGGGTCATCTAAACCCAGCACTCTTTCCTGCCTATGCAGGGGGTCGGATTCGATGATCTATTGAGGTCCCTTCCGACCCTAACATCTATGAATCTGTGAAAGTAGATGGAGTAGTAGATGAAACTTCGTCGACTCTAGATTGTAATTTGCCTTAAGGCTGTCTGCATTGTAAAAGCCTGGGAATCTTGTAGGTACAGGTTTCACTCCACCTTGGTCAGTTTTCCCAAGCAATGTATTTCCACCCCTTTAAAATTAAAAAATGCAAAGATTAAACTTTGAGTGTACTTCTGCAAAGTAGTAAATAGCTCTAGTATAAAGTCCCAAATAAGTAGCTAATATGTCTTCCTAAAATTTCCAGAGGGTGTGTATAAACCTTTTATTTTGTAACTGGCTGTGGTTCATTTTATAGGAGCTCCATTACACTGAGGAAGAGCTGTATCGGACAAAAAATACTTTACAAAGCAGAATAAAAGACAGAGAGGAAGAAATTCAGAAACTGAGAAACCAGGTACTTTATTTGCATTCAATAGTATTAATTTTGGGTTATGAAAAAAGTACAAGAGCCCCAGGCTGCATTCTTTGTTTTATGCTGTCGAGTCCAAAAAACGTGATCTGAACATCCAGTAATGGTTTACAACATGACATTCAGCTTTTGAAAACTAACTTTGAAATAAGTAGCAAAAGCAAATACAAATTTTAAAATACTAGTTTCCCTTTAGAGACAGAAAGCTGCATTGTCTGATGTGCATCCTTATAGGATCTGGTGATTAGAAAACCACGTGCACCTCGGCATTATCATATGAAATGCTAAGAGGGGTGTTGCTCACTTGAATGGATATTACGGATTTCTGAAATTGATCCTGTTACTATAACATCTGTTTCATTTCATGCAAATTGTCTTTGAAGCAACGTAACTCAAGATTGACTGACATGTAGAGATGAACAGATGCTCATGTTTTTCATGTGTTGTAATTATTTGTTTGTGTCCCAGTAGTGCTTGGTTTCCCAACATGTAAAATTTGCTTCAGAATGTGTGTTGTGTCCATTTGCATTGAACATTTGCTGAAGTATTGTTGTTCAGTGCCCCTGATCTGTATTTGCAGCATCATATTGCCTGTGGTCCCTGCTTACTCCATTATCTTATTGTAAATGCTTTGTTACTGGGGTGTGCAAAGCAGGCCGTATTTGATTCTGATTTGGATTTGGCCTGATTCGGGGGACAGTGATTCAATTAACTGACTCAGATCATGGTCCCAATTCAATACGGCTCAGTCTGAATCTGAAGATACGATTGATTTGAAGAATCAGCACTTTGGCCGTAGACACAGCTTTTATGGGTTTTTTTGGTTCGGTTTTGTTTTCTACGTACTTCAAGGTACTGTGTGCAGCTCGTGAATGCTGAGATGGTAGAGCAGATGGAGCGTCCTACAGGAGTGCAGGGGGGTGGCCCTCTGCATGCTCGGTGGTGGACATGCCCCCCCCGGCTCGGCAGTCAGGCACGGGGTCCCCCGCCCCCACCCCAGACCCAGGAGGCACCAGTCACCGAGCTGGGGGATGGGAGGGAGATCCCCCCACGCACTCCACAACAGGCCCAGAAGTGGACTGGAAGCACTTCCAGTCCACTTCCAGGTCTGCTGCAGTGTGTGCTCGGAACCCCTCCACACTCCTGTGGGATGCTTCATCCACCCCACCTTCTCAGCGTTCATGAGGCGCCTGGTACCTTAAGGTATGTAGAAAAAAACATATAAAGCTGCGTCTATGGTTGAATCAAATCTCTCCGAATCGAATCGGAGGCTTCCGATTCGATTCAAAGAGATTAATGGGTCTCCAGATTCGGCCGTGGAATCAGGCCAGATTGCCTCCAAATCGAATCAGTGACCAAAGCTTCGGACAGCCCTATTTGTTACCGTTTCAGATAGGCATGGGTTACTCAAGTTTAACTTCCAAAAAGAGGCCGCTATTAGTATGGGGAGTATCTGAATAGAAACAATAACACTTAGCCAGTTAAGGCAGGGGTTTTCAACTTTTTTGGATCAGTGTACCCCTGGGGGCCAGATGCGGAACAGTTTACCCCTGGTGGCCAAACACAGGGGTAGGGGGTGGCGCGCAGCCAAACACAGGGTGGGGGGCATGTGCGGCCAAATGTAGAGCGGCAGCAGCCGCCATGTACATGCTTCCCCCGCGTCCAGCCAGGCAGACGGCGCCTGCTTAGCAATGCGAGGTGGTGCGTGGCAGCAGTCTCTCCCTATCTGCCCGTGCGTACTCCCTAGGGCCTTCTCCTGGGGGTACTTGAGTACACATACCCCTGGTTGACAACCCCTGAGTTAAGGAATTCCAAAGTCAAGTGTTTCCTGTTTGTTTTTAAAGTTCTCTACAGAGTGGATCACATATACCACCCTACCATAATTTTTTTCTACAGTTTGCCTCCACCATTCTTGTCCTGTCCCTTCTAAGTCTCCTTGAGCACCCATGCTCAGTTTCATCTCTTCTTTCTTGCTGCTCCCTTGGCTTATAGTAGCCTCTGAGGTAATCTCTACTAACTCCCTTCCATATCCTCTTTTAAACTGTGACAGTTATGATTGTAATGGCCTTATTTCACTGTATTGTCATAAAGAACTAGGGCAGGAAGGGACCTCAGAGATCATCTAGTCCAACCCCCTGCCTGTGGCAGGATCATTCCTTCCAAACCATCTCACAGAACCATAATCTAAACTCTGCATAAGACTACCATCAACCCTGACACAACATAGACCTAACACCCTAACCTGCCACAAGTAAAGCAGGGGAACCATGGCAGCCAATGTCCTGCTTTTATAAAATGTTGTCAATATACACTCGAGATCCTGGGCAGAGCGCCATACCCCCTGCCACAGAAGAAGGCAAAAGCCCACACAGTCCATACCAATCTGACCACAATTCCTTCCTGACTTAAAAATTGGCAATCTGTCTGATCCTGAGCAGAGGGGCAAGACCCTTTAGCCTGGAACCTCCAGCTTTGCTCGTAGCAGGAGAATTGGCATACTACAGTTGAAGTCCCCAGCCTTGGCTGTAGCCAACACCCACTCAAAAGCCTTGCTGAAGTCCAGATACACTATATATATCTAGAGTATTCCCTTCATCCACCCAAGTAGTTATTTTGTCAAAGGAGATCAGGTTTGTTTGACTTGATTTGTTTTTTATAAATCCATGCTGACTGCTTGTGATCAGCCTTTCCTCTTCCAGATGCTTGCAAATGGTCTTCTTTAGGAAATGTTCCAGTAACTTCCCAGGTACTAAGGTGAGACTAACCGATCTGTAGTTCCCCAGATCCTCCTCCTTGCCTTTTTTAAAGAGGGGCACTATATTGGACCTTCTCCAGTCCTCTGGTACCTGACTCATCTCCCACAACTTCATGAATATCATTGCCAAGGGCTCTGAGATCTCCTCTGCCAGGTCTTTCAGGACCTTGGGATGAAGCTTATCTGGCCCTGCTGACTTGACTTGAATTCATTCAGATGCAACAAAAGCTCTCTGACCATCTCTTTTATCTCTTCCCTCAGCTTGGCTCCTTCCTTATCCAGATAATCCCTATTGGGTGTCTGGCAGCTTAATTTTTTTGTGAAGACTGAGGCAAAGTAGCTGTTGAGTAGCTCTACCTTCTTTGCATCTTCAGTTAGGAAGTGCCCTGTGGCTTGTTAACAGAGGGTCTGCTATCCTTGCTCCTTCTTTTCTAGCCCACATACTTATAGAAATTCGTCTTGTTGTCCTTAATCTTCTTTGCTAAGTGCAGCTCATTCTTTATCTTTGCCTTCTTGATTTTGTCCTTGCAAGTTCTTGCTGTTTCATGGTGCATGTCCTTGGTGACCTGCCCATTCTTCCATTGCCGGTATGCCTTCCTTTTGCATTTGAGACATTTTGTATTCCCACACTTGTTATTAAATTCTAATCTTTTGAGTGCTCTAATTTCTGGTTGTGCACAGGCCCACTGCTGCATGAAAGAGTGCACCTGGGTAATAGAACAAAATGTGAATAAATTCTTACCAGGAGCTTCGAAGTAATGATTTACTGTATCTGGCTTTAATAATTACTAAAATATATTTTTCTTTTATACTTGTTCTATCTTCTTAAGTATTTTTTTTTAATACTTCAATTGTCTGGATTGAATTTTTATAGTGTTTTTTTTTTTTTTTTTTACAGGGGTGATTATTTCATTTCCTTGCTCAGACTTTGAACTGATGTTTCTTTTTCAGCTCACAAACAAGACTTTGAGTAGTAGTAGTCAGACAGAGTTAGAAAATCGGCTTCATCAACTGACAGAAACTCTTATTCAGAAGCAGACCATGTTGGAGAGCCTCAGTACAGAAAAAAATTCCCTTGTCTATCAATTGGAACGTCTTGAGCAACAGCTTAAGAACATTCAAGGCAGTAGTACTAATGGACCATCCATTAATATGGCAGGAATTGACAGTGGTGAAGGTAAGCATGAAGGATCAGACTGTTTTTATACTGTATTTGTACTCTGCATTAGTAAGGTCTTGCATATATCACGTAAGTTTCCCTAAGCATTTAAGTTTCCCTAAGCAGGGGTGGACAAGGATTTCGGGCGGAGGGCTGCTTGATGAGTTTTTGACGAGCTGTCGAGGGCCGCATGGGTAGCCCTGCCCCTTCAGTTGCCCCACCCCCTGGTTGTCATCTTGGGTCCAGAAGCCCTGCCCCTGACCTTTGCCACCAGAAGTCCCTCCCCTTTCACAACTTATCGGGTAGCAAGGGGCTGTGACCCCTCTAACATCCTGCCCCAGCAGTGGGGTTTCAAGGGCATCGGACCTCCCCCAGAACTTTTCCCCTACCTGTGCCAGCTGGTCCCAAAAGGAGGAGGCTCCACCCAGTCAGCCTCACCCCATCCCCAGCAGCACCTGGTGGGCTGGCTTCAGCCGCATGCTGCTCCAGATGGGATGGACCCAGCCGGGTCTGCACTGGCCAGGAAAAGCGACCTGCAGCTGAAGTCGGCTCCTCACATGCTGCTGAGGACAGGAGGAGCCTGGCCGAATCTGCACTGGCTAGCAGAAGCGGTGGTGAAGCCGTGTGCTGCTCGGGATGGGATGAGCCCAGGTGGAGCAGCAAGGGCTCAGCTGCACTTTACCCCTGCCTGCATCGATCAGTCCCTAGCAGCACATGGCTCTGCCACTGCTTCTGCTGGCCAGCGCAGACCGGGCCAGGCTCCTCCCGTTCCCAGCAGCACATGGGAAGCCAGCTTCAGCCGCATGCTGCTCCAGACAGGATGGGCCCGGCCAGGTCTGCACTGGCCAGCAGAAGCGGCGGTGGAGCCGTGTGCCACTCAGGACTGACTGGTACAGGCAGGGGCTGAGCTCGTCCCATCCCGAGCGGCACACGGCTCCGCTGGCACTTCTGCTGGCCAGTGCAGACCTGGCCGGGCCCATCCTGTCTGGAGCAGCATGCAGCTGAAGCCAGCTTCCCAGGTGCTGCTGGGGACAGGAGGAGCCCAGCTTGGTCAGCACCAGCCAGCAGAAGCAGTGGTGGAGCTGTGTGCTACTCGGGACTAACTGGCACAGGCAGGGCGAAAATGCAGCCGAGTCCCTGCTGCTCCGGCTGGACTCATCCTGTCCCGAGCGGCACACTGCTCTGCCGCCACGTCTCCTCCCTGGTGCTGACTGGGCTGGAGCTGCAGCCCAGCTGCTGCTTCCCCTTCCTAGTGCCGCCCAGCCCGAGACTGCACAACCCAAGCGGTACGGCATGGCATGGGAAAGCCTGCCCAGCAGCTGTTTTCCTGGGCTTACCTGCAGGGCAAGGCCTTTTCCAAAAACAGAATCCGGCCCAGACACTGTTTCCCCTCACCAGCGCCACAGGTTTTGGCCCAGCCCCCCTGCCCCTCTCAAGCTGCAAACCTGGCCTGGGGCGGGGCGGGGCGAGGCCAGCTGGGGTAGGCTGAGGTCAGGGTTGCATCACAACCGCAGGTTGGTTGCCTTGCAACCAGAACCCAAGGAAACAGCCTGAGGTGCTGCAGCTGGCGGCTGTTGCCACCCGAAGCTTTGAGAGAGGCAGCTGCCATTACATGGGTTTTGAAGGAGCTCTGCGGCCCAGAGGGAAGTGTTTGGTGGGCTGTATTTTGCCCACCCCTGATTTTAATACATAAGAAAATATGGTAATTAAACAGCTCAGGTAGTTGATCTTTGGAAGTATAACCAGTACATTTAAAAACAACCAGATAAGTACTGCAGTTTCATAACTTGAAATTAATTTAATAAAGAAGAACTTCATAGTTTCATAGTTTGTAGGGTCGGAAAGGACCTGAGCAGATCATCAAGTCCGACCCCTGCCATGGCAGAAAAAAGTACTGGGGTCAAA